TCCTGGCCTCAAGTGATCCTCCTGCCTTACCCTCCCTAGTTCTTTCTTATAGTTTTAACTTACATTTATTAATAGATGACAGGATGCTGGATGCAGTTACGTTTAACCACCAAATTACTTCAGTCTCACTGAAATTTGAAACTCATGAATGAAAGGTGGTTCCCCCCAAAGATTTTTAAATTATCTGCCCCCCGAAAGGCAGGCATTAACAATCTTGGCCAAAATATAGAAAATTATCTCAGAATAAGCACTGACTTTAGTTCTCTGGTAGTGTCTATCTTTGAATAGGTCTTTATATGAGTAGCTTAGATGATTAGCAATTACTATGCTGGAGAATTATTAAGGTCAATTTAATTCCAGTTGCTCTGAGTTGAGGAAAACTTGGGATTGAGCCATAACTACATCAAACTCTTCAAAAGTAATGGCCAGTTCAGATTCTGGAACTCTGGTTACAGTTGAGGCTTCAAGTCCTGTTTTAACACATCTCAATATTTTACCCTCACCCTCTAGAGTTCTTTGAGTTAACCTCAATTGTAGCCATTTTCTCACAATTTGGGCTAAAGATTAGTTTAAATTTTTGTAGAAAGGATTTCTAAATTATTTAACTATGTTCAGGATTAATAAATATTTCTGGATATCTGAAATGTATAGTTTTGTTTTTCTTTTCTTTTTTTTTTTTTTTTTTTGAGACTGGTCTCTGTTGTCCTGACTGGAATCCAATGGCATGATCACAACTCACTGCAACCTCCAACTCCCAGGCTCAAGCAATCCTCCTGGCTCAGCCTCCCAAGTAGCTAGGAGTACAGGTGTGCATCACCCACCACACCTGGCTAATTTTTTTTTTTTTTTTTTGTAGAGATGAGGGTCTCACTATGTTGCCCAGGCTGGATTTGAACTCCTGGCCTCAAATGATCTTTCTGCCTCAGCCTCCCAAAGTGCTAGGATTACAGGTGTGAGCCACTGTGCCCAACCTGAAATGTATAACTTTGACTAGAGTTTTTCAAAGTGGAAAGCAATCTTACGCTTCTCTTTATTTATTTTTAAAATAAAATAACCTTTATGGTTTCTGCTACCATAGCAACTGAAAACTTTTTACTATCTCTACTAATTCTGATAAACAGTTTTGTAAAGAGTAACTGACTGACAAAAGACTCCAGCACAAAAGACAAACCAGGCTCCATTTCATTCCATAAGCATGGGGGCAGATGACACATTGCATTAAATAAGACTTAGGCCTAGGGTTTGCCTTCTAAAGTGAGTGCCTCTTGAGACTGTTTTTATATTCAACAGGGAAGTGTGTGGGCATTGAAATTACGCTACATGTCATAGCCCAAATAAGCATTTGGTCATTTGAAAGAAACATCCGGAGACCAGAAAAATAATCTTACTTAAAGTTTCAACATTTTTGAAGACCAGGGAAATAAATGTTAAATTTTCCCTCCAAATTAGCTTTCTTTTTTACACGATACCCTTCTTTTTCTAGTCTTCTCAAAGCAGCATTTCTGTCATGTTTGTTCCATGCCTCCTCTTGAGTCCTGAAAATTGCCAGCTGCAAATTCTGACATGCCAAGGGCTCAGCTATATTTGCCCAACCAAGAAAAAGTAAAGACAGAATCTTGGAGCCAGTAAAGATTATAAACATGTTTCTACACTGTTGGTGTGCTGTTTATAAAGTGAACTCACTTTAAGATTTTAATAAGCCCTCAAACTTCATTATTTTGCTCTCTCTCCAAGCACAAAGCACAGATGTTTTGGCATGTTGGAATCTGAAGTTTGGAATTTTTAGAGGAGGTAGTGTGTGGGCAGGGAACTAGCACCCTGGGCAAGTTGAGAGGTTCAGCAATTTTCATAAAATAAGGTAAAGGAACAGCCTTTGGCCTAGAAGTTTAGTAAAAGTATATAGGGGCTAGGGTGAGACTGCACTACACAAAATGAGGGCACTGGATTTTTTCATAATATCTAAAGATATTAGACAATTTTGCCACTTTTGAAAATAGAAAATTTTGTGCAAAAAATTCTGAATTAAAACAATGGTAATGTAAAATCTATTACTACCTATCAAAAGGCTAGGGAATTTTACATAAAGGCAGAGGTTTTGCTTAAAATAAGAATTTCACGTTATTTATAAAATAAGAAATACTGTTAATAATAAGACTGAAAAGTACCTTGAAAAGCTTCTCTTCCCTATTCCTCCCTATTTCTGTCATGACCATCTTTTCCTCATTTCCACCCAATATTAGAGAAAACTTCTTTTTCCCATGAGACTAAAATTGTGCTGTCCAATATGGTAGGCACCAGCCATATGTGGCTATTTAAGTTAAATTTTTTTGAAAAAGTAATTTAGGCCAGGCACAGTGGCTCACGCCTGTAATCCTAGCACTTTCCGAGGCCACAGTGGGTCTCCTGCTTTAGCTTCCGAGTAGCTAGGACTACAGCATGTGCCATTGAATCTGGCTTAAAATTTTCCAATTTTTTAAATGTAAAATTTTATGTAGAAAATTAGCGTCTAATATTTGTGGAGTAAAACTGCATAACTTTCTCACAATTTTTAAACACACCTCAATTTAATTTTTAGTTGGTAAAATTAGGTAGCCTATTAAGATAAGCCGAGTAGAGACTTTAAAAACTTCTGGAAAATTCGCATTGTAAGCTTCATGGGCACAAAAACTCTGGTCATTTTATGAATCCCCACTGCTTAATAAAGTGTCTGATACATGGTTAATTCATGTCTGAAATTTTTAACAGTGATTTCCTTTGGGAATCTGGACTTCTCTGGTGTGTATGCTGGGGAATAGAATGAGGTGAGAGGTGAGACTCTCTCTTTCATAGACTTTTGTGGTTTCTGAAACTGTGTACATGTATAAAATGTATAATATGTATGTCATATACATATATATAATTTTTTGAAACAGGATCTAGCTCTGTCACCCAGGCTGGAGTACAGTGGTGTGATAATAGCTCACTGCAGCCTCAAACTCCCAGGCTCAAGCAATCCTCCTGCCTTGGTCTACCAGAGTGCTGGGATTACAGGAGTGAGCAACAGTGTCTGGCTGATATACATCATAGTTTTAAATAGTGAAAAGCCTTAACGTTGAGAGATGTTTAGGATGTCCTATATGACTATTTTCGAAAGATGAACTTTCTCACCCTCCTCCACACACATGCATCAGAAATTTTTTATCTCCACTCCACCACTTCATTATTCATTAGTCTACTCATTTGTCCATCCACACCTTATACACCCTACATATGTAGGATACACACATGCAAATAAATCATGTCTCTCTATTCCCCATAGTAAATGCAAGCACAGAGAGAAAAAATTTGCCTCTCTCATCAAATTCTCAACCACCCAAATGATAGTACTTGAAGAAATGTTAACGCTACTGATTATATCAAATAATTGACTAGGAAACTGGTTATTAGATAATCCTCTGACTTTAGACAAATCACATAACCTTTGTTCATCCAAAAAAAAAAAAAAGCCAGGCGTGGTGGTGTACACCTGTAGTACCTACTTGGTAGGCTGAGGTGGGAGGACCACTGAAGTCCAACATGGGCAACATAATATAACATAGCCAGACTCTGTCTCAAAAAAAAAAGATATAAAAAAATAAAGCAGCAACTGAGCTAGACTAGATTACTTATGAATTACTAATATTTTTATGGTTCAGGAATTTATTAGTTTGCTATGCAGTAGGCAATGTTTATATAAACACTTTTAATAAGTTAAAAACTTTTCTTGAAGTATGACTTATGTGTTGATAATTTTATGTTTAAAACTATTATACAACATTATCAATTACCCAGAATTGTTTGACTCCCTTTGAATGGTTGATTTTTCCTTGGGTATTAAGAATTTTTAAAATCTTATTTTCTGTATTTTCACAGCATCTTGTAATAAAATTACCAAGATCAACTTCATTCTTTTGCTGCTGGGCAAACTATACTTAAACTGACCCTGTTCTTATTTATTCTTATGTCTCCAGATGGCTCTCTAGCTTTAAAATTTAAGCATCCGTGTAGGGTTTTGTGCATACTTCTGTTATGTATAATCTTCTAAATCACTCAATATTACCTTATTTTAAACTCTGTCACACATCCCATTAAAGTTACATTCTAAATTCAACACTTGTATACTTTATTTTCTTCTCAGTTGAATAAATATCCAAAAATGTTTGTAATCAATGTTGCACTGAACTTGGCTAATGATAAATATTGTCCTCTTAAAAATTCCTGAAAATGTGAATCTTACTTGCCCAAGTCCTCATAACCAATAGAAATGTTCTTAATAACCAAATAGATGTAATAAAAAAGTTTTAAAAATCACACGGAATATAGAGGCTATCTTTATACTAAATTAAAACTTTATTGAATAAAGAACACTCTCCAGAACACATGATCTGATGGACTAAGTCTACATTACATGCAATGAAGCTGAACATGACAGTAGTTTAACATGGAATGTCAAACAAATTAGTATTTTTCATGGTACAAAACTGTTTATGTAACTGATGTGCAAGAACAGTATAATACTCAGCATTTTCACCAATCATCTGTGATGAGTTTAAAAAAGGCGTTTGAAGAAACTGGTAGGTGTCTTCAGGGTACAGTTCAAATAAATTAGTTACATGTGTACTACTGAATCCTCTTTCAACCTCTCTTGCATTCCAAATAAAATCTTAGTGCAAACATCAATGTTGCTGATCACTCCAAAGACTGTCAAACTCATAATAGAATACAAGTTCTGAATTACTGTTAAGTAGGACAAACCCAAGAATACCAGTTACTGCAAAATTCATTTAGGCACGCTTAATAGTCCACTCTAAGCATTTCTTCTAAGTCTCTCACATTAATGACTAAAGCCTGTTTACAGTACTAAAATTCTATCATTCAAGCATCAATGATTACATTTCAGAAAAAGGAAATCATTCATTTCAGTAATAGCATTACTGTTATATTCTAAAAAAAAAAAAGAGAGAGAGAGAGAGAGAGAGAGAGAAAAGAAAAAGAATCATAATTAACAAAACCAGTATCCATAATAGGATACATGGGGCAAAACATTTTAGGCAAAAAAAAAAAAAAAAGTGTGCTTTACTTGCACAGCAGGAATTATATAATGTAAACACCATATTGGCCCACACCACAAAATCCATGAGAAAGGTTCAAATTTGAACACTGAGTGTGAATTATTTTCAAATCTGTGTTTGTGAGTTTATGCTGCATCTGCTTGTACCAATACATGACAAAGAAAACACTCTTCCACACACATACACATACAAGTGATTGTTAAATATTGAGCATGGCTTGCTTCCCTGACTCTAACTCAAAAAAAATGTTAAGTGACATCCCAATTGTTTTAAAAATGTTTACAGAAACCATTAAATGAATGTGAATAGTAGCTGCGGAATGATGAAAAAGTGATGGTAATGATATGGTGAAAGTGGATGTAAAAAGAATGTAAATATAATGCTGAGATTTGTAAATCCATGGAAAATCTTTTTCTGTGGGCCTTGTCTGAATTTTAAACTGATACCAATAAAAAGAAAATATAGTAGCACAAGTCCATTGACACCTGGAGGGTCAGGCCTACAAAGCTTACCTTCAAAGTGCAAATTTTAACAATGGAATGTTTTAGCGGGGACATAAAGACAATCCTCCGTCTTTTTCTTGTTGAAAAGAAGACGTTCAGGAAGTATTTATTCCTGGCCAAAGTTATTTCAGTTTCTTGGTTAAAAAACAAAAAATATTTAGCCACAATTATCACCCACTCTTTCACATACACAGAATCATTCTTAGGGGTGTCAGGGGGAGAAAAAACCCTTATTTGTGTATCACCTAATGGAACTCTTATTTAGAATTTAAGTTCATTGAATCCACTACATTAAATATCAACATGTACCTTTCTTATCCCCTCCCGCTCCACCCACCTAATCCCAGACACCCCCAATGAACCTAGGTATTCTAATGTCTTTGTTTTCTAAGCCTCATGACTAAGGCTGTTGAGTACCACCTCCACTGGAACAAAATTAACACCTAAGGTGCACTTTCCACAGCACCTTTTTTCTTCTCCACGATTGAGTGGAATCTTGATGCTTTCAAGCCTGTATCTAGATCTCCAAGTCATCAGGCCGAGGTCTGCTGCTGGCGCGACTGCTGGCTCTGCTCGAAGGTCGCTGGTCCACGATGGCTAGTGGCTGTAGTTCGTGTCCAGCAGCTAGTTTTTTAGAATTCTGGTTATCGTCGGGGAAATCAAAAGGCTGTGCATGGGAGTTAGAGATGGTGCTTCCTGCCTGCCCCATTCTATTTTGTTCTGCACTGTAATTAGCCCAGTTTTGCTCACTTGCTTGTTTGTTGTAATTGCGGCAAGAAGAATTGTTTCTGTCGCCAGTAACCAGCTTGTACCCGGGAGGAGACATGGGTGAGAGGGGAGCGGTTGGTGAAGAGCAGCCATTGAAATATGCATATTTTGGTGATCCACAGTCTTTGGAGGGGCTTAGTGGGCCAGTGGTAGCATGGTAAGGATCACCCTTTCCCTTCACACGATCCTTAACGCCTTTGAAGAAGACATAGAAGAGTTCAATGATATTCAATGCAAGAGACACCAAGGACACCACCAGCATAAAGATGATGAAGATGGTTTTCTCCGTGGGGCGCGAGAGGAAACAGTCCACCTGATGTGGGCAGGGATCTCTTTTGCAAGTATAAACGGCACTCAAGCTGAATCCATAGATGTACCACTGGATCAGCAAGAAGGCCACCTCGAAGACAGACTTGAAGAGGATACTGATGATGTAGGTTCGCAGCAAGCCCCCACGCATCTTCACCTTACCATGCTCTTCAATGCCATACTTAAACTTCTTTATTTCAATCTGCTTCAAATGCATCTCCACATTGACACCATCAGTTTGGGCAACTTTGAGTTCCTCTTCTTTCTTATTCAGTTTCTCTTCCTTTCGCATCACATAGAACACGTGAGCCAGGTACAAGAGTGTGGGTACAGACACGAATATGATCTGCAAGACCCAGAAGCGCACATGAGAGATTGGGAAAGACTTGTCATAGCAGACGTTTTCACAACCAGGTTGCTGAGTGTTACAACGAAAGGCAGACTGCTCATCACCCCAAGCTGACTCAACTGCTGTCCCCAGCAGCAGGATTCGGAAAATGAAAAGGACTGATAGCCACACCTTCCCTCCAGCAGTGGAGTAGGCTTGAACCTTGTCAAGGAGCTTGCCTAAGGCACTCCAGTCACCCATGTTGCCAGGGCACCACCTGAAAAGAAACAAAAGGACAATTAAATGATCACAGATTGCAAATTATTAGTTTAACATATATTCTCTTTCAGCTGATAGTCAAAAGTATTGCAAAAGATCTCATATCTTGCCAGTATTTTTCAAAAAAAGACCAAGTGCAAAATTCTTCTTGCTCCGATTCTCCCCACAGAGGTCTAACATTTCACTTTTTTTTTAAAGATAAAGTAAGTCTTAGAAGCAACAGAGCCTGTGTGACAGAGAGTGAATTGCAATCTGCAGCTGTGAAGATGTATTACTTGCTCAACCACTGCCTTGCCATGTGACTTGAGAAGCTATCTGTGCTAAGTGTCTCTGCTTATTTTATTTGTCTGGTAAATAAATGAGAGCAGTTCTTGCCTGGCAGGCCTGTGTCTGGATACATGCCTAAGCAAAATGCTGATGTATGTTATTTAAAGCACAGATATCTAAGAATTGAAGTAAGAACATCCATGAACACACAATACACACAAAAGCTCAGTTCCCAAACTTTCATGCTATTATATAGCATTTATTTCTAATTTTAATCTGAAATGTTTCTCAATGGCATATCATGTGTGATTTGTGCATACTTTATAGTATAGTCATTTATACTTTTTGGTTTCTTCTTCTTCTTCTTCTTTTTCTTTTTTTTTTAAGAGATGGAGTTTTGCTATGTTTCCCAGGCTGGATTGGAACTCTTAGGCTCAAGCCTTCCTCCTGTATGCCTCTGCCTCTCGAGTAGCTAGTACTATAGGCCTATGTCACTGTGCCCAGCTGTTTCTTCTTAAGAGTGACTTATGTGGTTCAGAAATCTGTCTTCTGTCCAGAGAAAAAATAAGTTGTACTGAAACACACTATTTTGACACAATGTGTCATTATATACAGGAACTACTTCAAAAAACGAACTCTTAATACACATCATATTTCAAGTAAAAAGTTCAATTTGTCTCAATACTACTTATAACTTTAGAAATAAAAAAGGACTACTTCAGAATGTTTTCTTCAGCAAAAAAAGATGGTTTCATCTGGCAACAGTCTGGCTCTGTTGCCCTGGCTACAGTGCCATGGCGTCAGCCTAGCTCACAGCAACCTCAACTCCTCCTGCCTCAGCCTCCCGAGTAGCTGGGACTACAGGCATGCGCCACCATGCCCAGCTAATTTTTTCTATATATATATTTTTAGTTGTCCAGATCATTTCTTTCTATTTTTTTTAGTAGAGACGGGGTCTCGCTCTTGCTCAGGCTGGTCTCGAACTCCTGACCTTGAGCGATCCACCCGCCTCGGCCTCCCAGAGTGCTAGGATTACAGGCATGAGCCACCACGCCTGGCCAGTTTTCATCTTTTGATTGTTGTATACTTTAAAGTTCCCTTACTGGGCTTTACATTCAAACTATATCTTCAATTTAACTTCTTATCAATATCTAGATATCTTAAGCATAGATCTCCATTAATGGGGATGTGAAAAAGACTTAAGTCTGTAGAACTGACAAATATTCCAAAAGTCATCTAGTTCAATTTATGCTTCTAATTGCCAATCATCCATTTAATTGATAAAAATTGAGGTTCTCAGTATATAGGAAATATTGAGCTATAGATAGAGCCAGAAGAAGACTCACAATCCCCAGGCCAAACCTTTTCAATGCATCACACTGGTTTTAAAAGTATAATAAAGCTGCGTTAAAGCTAGAAATGTTTCCATGCTTTGATATATACAATCTTAGGAAGGGCTGAAAGCTGGGAAGAAGTGAACACCATGAAATGTGGGAGGCACAGAGAATACAGGCTAATTTTCAACAGAGAGTAGTAATTGGAGGGTTTAGAAAAGGATGAAGTAATCAAAGATTATTTAATAATTAAAAACAAGCAAAGTAAAGACTTTATAGAAGCTTAAGTAATGAATTCTAAATAGTGTAACTAAAAGTAGTATTATGTAGGCTTCTTAGAAATATGTTCACTATCTGAATATAAAGGAGTTTCTCATCTGCTGTTGAACTATGAGCCATATTCTCCTTGCAGGAAGTAAATGAAGTCCAGGGGAGTCTTCTTGCCCATCATGCAATGTTACATTTATGTCTAATGACTGCATTTGCTGGCTACAGAGGGCATTAAAAAGTGAAGTGGAACCTTACCTGGTATTTCCTGGATGGAACAAAGAGACGACTAAGCCATAAAGCTAAACTATGCACCAGCTATCTAAATTAGCATTTGATGGGTATATTTGACAACAGCCTAGAGAGTGGTGCCCAAGAATGCTGGAATAAGAGTGGGAGGTGGGTGGGCAGGCTGCAGAAATAATGCTGTCCCAGTGGTCATAAAAAGGGAGCTTCCCTTCTTCTTTTAGGAAGGGTCATTTTAGATTCTGAAGTGACAAGTTAGAAAGTGAAATTGATGTATGAAAAGAGCAGTCAAAAAGAACAAAGGCTTACAGGGTTGTCAAAGAGAGTTAAATAGTCAAGGAAAGGCTTGAAGTGAGAGAGTAATTTAGTCTTGATGAACAATTTGATGGTGAGAGAATGCAAAAGAAAAAACCCTACAATTTAACAGAAAATACTAGACTGAGAATAAAGAAGTATAGTCCATGAAGTTCAAACAAATATAACAAAATTTTTGGAGCTATTATCAACAGACAGTTTCTATGTGATGATGTGTAAATTGGCCCTAATTCTGTTTGTAAAAAAATACAGTATTTTGCCAGTGTCATCTGCTTTTGCTCAGATATTCCAATTGCTGGGGGGAAAATAACAAAAACAATCGAGCATAAAATGATAAACTGTTTGCATACATCTCATCACATTCACGCAATGATAGAGCTGAAAACAAACCTAACATGTTTAGAAATATGACTGGGCACAAGAGAAGTTATAATTTTAATGTGTCATCATTATTCAAACTAAAATATGATTGTGTAGATGCTTATGGCAATTCATTACTAAGTTTTTTTACATTCATGTTAAATAACATTTGACTTTCATATAATTCTGAAATTCCACAAAAATACTCCACGGTCCTATAGTATGTGAACTGGGTCACCAGGCAGTTCTCTAGGTAGTAGTTTTTTTTTTTTTTAATACATCAGCAATTTAATTGCAAAGTTGTCTTTTCTTTTAATCACCCACGCCAGTTGTCATTTGCATTAATGAGTTATACTCTTTCATCTGAATACAATATGAATTATCCAATTGGACACCTAGGATCCTGTAACATGTAGATACCTGTCATTACCACTATCACAGAGACCACAAAAATTGTTTAATGTGACAGCTTATCCTGTGACTCCCAAGAAGAGGTAACAAAAGTAGTTACCTTATTTTGGTAGTTGCTCACTTTGCCATGAATCAAAAGTTCTGTCAACTGGTTGTTCCGCTCCTCTCTCCCAAACCTGGTTTAATATTTTTAGTTTTCCAACTGTTACTTAAAATTTTAATGTCCTTTTATAAGAAAAGGGCATAATTACAAGGAAACGTCCTTTTATAAGGAAAGGACATAAGTATATGCCCTTGCAGAATCTCTGACCTTGATCTACAGATTATATACCACATTCGTATTTACCAATAAGAGACAGGTATGTTTCTTATTCGATACATGAGGACATCCAGGCAGCTGAACGTACCATGTACATTCATGCCTCCACCTCTAGGTTCCCAAGTTGGTGCTTCATATGTAGGCCTTGGTCGATAAGGAGTTGTGCAAAGTTCTTGTTAAGAACAGATTCCTGAGAGCAGCTGGTCTACCTTTCTTGTGCCTTCTTTGTGCCATGTTAGAGCACGTTTTCCATTGCTCTTCATGGCCCCCTAGACTAGATGGCCAAAGCTACAGACACTAAGTGTGGCCTGCCTGAGGTCCCTCTAGTCCCTTTACAGTGGTTTCCTGAACTGCATCACAATCACTTGACAGCATTTGTTAAAAACATACACTCCTGGCCCTCACCAGTCAGGATGAATCTGAACTTCTGGGGGATGAAGCCTGGGAAATCAGGGGTTTTTTTTTTTTATTGTTGTTGTTACCTTTTTAAACAAATATCCCAGGGGATTCTGAAGTAATGTTTCAGGCCAGCAGGAAAACAATGGTTTCTTGACATTTCTAGTGCTTTCTTGTTCAAAATATTCAGGAGTAGGAGAAATGTAAGGAGTCTAAAAAGTCCAGGGGGCTAAGCATGAGGAGTAGGGGCTTTCTGGGACCTGGGACTGAGCTCATCTTCGGCTCCACAGCCCCTTTTCACTTCCTAACCTCCATCTGCAGCTCCCTGAGAGCACAAGGACTAAACTCTTCGATCCAAATGAAATCCCTTAAAAATAAAGCTTCAATTTTAAATTACAATTGACTGTCCCTCTTGAGTCTTATAAACAAATCACTGTGCCGAAGCTGCAGTCAATTCTCTCCATGTCATTAATAATCTAATAATTATTAGAATTAGAAAATATATTACTTTCAATTTTAAAGATTTTCCCAAGAAGAGACAACTCTAATGAGTTCAGAGTGAAGACTTAAACAAATAAAGGTAAATAGGACCATTAATAACTAGAGTGAGATTTACTATCTATCATCTTTTTTTGTAATCAAAAGTAAACACTTAGGGAAGATGAAGGTCATTAATATCTGAAAGAATAAAATCAGAGCCTAAAAATTCATAAGGAAATGTCTATGGAAGTTTCTGATAAAATCATTTAATGGGTTTCTTGGGGGAGAAGGGAAATGCTATGCATGTTTCTAATGTACTAAAACCAAACATCTTTATACCCCAAAACTCAAATGCAAACCCTTCTAATGTTTTTCTTTAACTTTTATGAGAACCCCTGTCCCTTGCACTAAACGTTGTGGGGTGAGATCAGTTGTGACTATTCCTGTACACTTACAACAGCCACATGTTCTTTGTGGTAATATTTCTATGCACACAAAATCACCATAACCCATATTCAATCTATCAGCCAAGTACTATAGACTATCGTCAAAATATAACCGGACTGTGACTGATCCTTACCACCATCCTTGCTCTTAGCCTGA